GGCTGCTGTCGGAACCAGGCGGTGACTTCCCTTTCTACAGCTTCATCGTCGGGAAAATGTTCAGCCGAAAGATGATGTTTAAGAGGGCCGAACAAATGGAAGTCGCTTGGAGCCACGGAGATTGCCACGGAGGCGATTGTGCAACGGGTTGAAGGCTTAATGCGAGCAGACAGAAGGGTAACTATAGACACTATAGCCACTGCTACTGGTTGTTCACACGGCATGGCGTACCTCATAATGCAAGACAGGTTAGGTTTTCACAAAGTCTGTGCACGATGGGTGCTGCACATGCTGACCCCACAACACAAAATGCAAAGAATGGGCCTGGCATTACAGCATCTCAATCGCTACCACGATGATGCTAGCACGAATTGTCACAGGTGATGAGCCTTGGGCTCACCATTACCAGCCCGAGACAAAGCGTGAGTCAATGCAGTGGAAACATCCTGCGTCGCCTTGAGGCTGGAATGCGGTGAGCAGTATGCCTTCATGATACCAGAAGACTGTGATCATCACTTTCCTGGAAGGTGGTGTCACCTTAAACTTTCTTTTTGGCAGGAGATGCAGGATGTTTCCACTGCATTGACGCACGCTTTGTCTCGGGCTGGTAATGGTGAGCCCAAGATTCATCACCTGTCACAATCGTGTCCTTCATCGTGGTAGCGATTGAGATGCTACAAAGCCAGACCCATTCTTTGCATTTTGTGTTGTGGGGTCAGCATGCGCGTCACCCATCGTGCACAGACTTTGTGATGGTTCCGACAACAGCCCAAAGAATATTATGCTACTGGTTTTCAGGGGCTTGTGAAACGATGGGACAAGTGCCTCAATTTACAGGGAGATTATGTTGAGAAATAAAAGTATATCCATTTGTAACTTACTTATTGGCTTACCCTCGTACAATAATTACGCTTGAGGAGTTTCACTTACCTGTAATTAAATTTTACAGCTTTATAATTGTGAGTTTATTAACACCAATGGTTCAGACTGAAGTTATGCAACACGGTTCTTCTCACCCCATCGAATACGCCAAATTGATTGACTTTCACTGGAAAATGCTATGTCCTCCTCATGCACCTGAAACACAAAGCACTACATTAGCAGTGATCAAGAACGCACGTTACACAAATATCCATTTTTATTTGCCGGTTCTTATACACGTGCCTTCAGCCGTCCACAGTGATTGCAAGGGCAAAGGAGCTTTCAATATTACTTTAATTGGTTATTTAACGAGGCAATATGGCGTCGGACGCTCAGTATTGGGCAGCGTGAACACTGAATATCAAGCGACCAAACCCAGCACGAAGCATGAAAATACTGTGACGTGTATGAGTGACTATAGACGAAGTTTGGATTGGTAATTGGATTTACTGACCACTTATAAATCGTAGCTACAAGTACTATAGCGATATCGCTAATTCAGCACACTACAATGCACTACAGCACGCAATACGTCTTCTCAGTCTGCTCTGTCTTCACCTGCTGTCGCCTGGTAACGGCTTTCAACGCCTTAAATACCCCATCTTCCATGTTCACGTCCTTACTGGCCGGCGACTCTCACAACTAACTAAACCGTAGACTTGTCCTTAAAACACATCGGCAAGGACCGAAGAGAAAACACCTCTTTCAACATTTATACTGTTGCATCATGCAGCTGTTGTACGGACTGCGTAGAGAACGCCGCTTCAGAGTTAGACAATTGGTGGGTGGTAGGAATGTGTTGCCTAGTAACGGGTGTTGTATACAGAGTCATTACTTAGCAACGGGTCTGCATGCTACAATATGTCCCTGTTTCTTTATACTGTGTATTACGTTGTGCGGTGCAGAAACTGCTACCGATTTAGTTTAATATTTCCATTTATGTTCAGGTCTCCCAATTGGTCTCTCCCTTTCAAATTCGTCGACTAAAATTCTTCATAAACTTCTCTTCGCTTCAATACATGCAACATGTCCCACCCATCGTATTCTTTTTCATTTGATCATCCACATCATATCTGACAAGCTGAGATAGCTCAGTTGGCACAGGGACAAGGCCACGAGTTGGAGGACCAAGGAATGGATATTCGATTTCCTGTTGGACTCAGACTTTTCTGTTCTTCACAAAAAATATCTAGCCTAATATTATATGGGTTAAGGGGGCTTTTCTCTGGGGTCAAATAGGCCGGAGCGTGAATCTGAGCACTCATCTCCATCTAGTGCCGAGGCGAATAATGAGTGAAGCTGTATTTCCACTCCCCCCATACGTCTTCAAGGCGTGATGCTCAGGTATGTGGCGAGACAATTCTTGGTCTTGCTTGTAACCGTACCTGCAGAGGCAAAACTAATTCACTAAGTCCATGGAGCTGAGTCCTTTTGAGAACTTGTTTTTTCAGCTACTAAAGAAATTACCAGCATTTTATGCAATCAGGAAGCTCATTACCTTGTTCACAAGAGCCCGTCACTGGTCCCTATCCTTAACAAAAAAATCAAGTCCACATTCTTACATCCTAGTTTATTAAGATCCATTTTAATATTATATTTGAGAAGTTAAACCTAAAGTAATTATAAAGTTGTCTTCGTGCTCAGTTAAGCACCACGCCACGAACAGAAATGGGGGAGTGGATTTACATCTATAAGTAATCTTGCCCTCGACACTAGATTGAGGTGAGTGGTTAGCTTCACACCTCAGCCGTCTTACCCCCAAGAGGAAGTCGCCGATACCCATTGGACAGGAGACTGGTGGGCCTCCGAGCAGACCTGGAGGCAGTGAAGAAAAAATATCTCTTGCTTCTTCCGAGAATCGATTCATCGATCAACCAGACCGCAACATAAACACTATAAAGACTGAGCTAGCCTAATTCTTATCCGATAAAGAATAAAAGCAACAAAGCTCCTCATTACATTATTTTAAGTCTTGCGATATGTATATAATCAGAGAATGTTCAGAGAGCTTGCTTCGAAAGAGCGGACATTTAAACGCATAAAAAGAAACTGCAAAGCGAGGGAACGCTTCCTGGCCACATGTGCATAACGAAGCAGGAGGGCAGAAAGATGCAGTCCCCGCGTTCTTACACTGGAATGTCACGCGTACAGCTTCATCGTGTCATTAGCTTCAAGACACTTGCTGACAGGCATTAATCTTTAATAGTCCTTCTATGAGGCTGATCACAGTGGCCGCGCGGTCTAAGGCATGAACACTGGGTTCGTGGGTTCGAATCCCACTCGAAGCATAAATGTCTCTGTGCGTTTATTCTGAGGTTGTGCTGTCCTGTGTACAGGTAGCGGCCTTGTGACGGGCTGATCCCCAGTCGAAGGAGTCTTTACAGACTGTGTATAGAATGTAGAACATGAAAAAGCGGCCATGGCCCAACAAAGGGCCGTGGAGCCATGATAATAATAATTGATTTTATGATGTTCATTATCTAACCGAGGGGTAAAGTAAAAAAAAAAAGTAAAGCTATCCCTGTAACAGGCCGTGAAGGCCCATAGGGCTGTGAGACGCTGAGGGTCCCACATTATCTAGACAATCGGCTCACAGATGGCGGTAAGGTTGTCAGCCTTACACACCAGCCGTCCTTTACCCCGAGGAAGACTCCTGATACTCATTTCTGTTAGAGGCTGAGTGAACCCCAGGGCCATAGTGCGACTGGAAGGATTAGGTCAATTGAAAAAATCCAATGACCTCATCGGGACTTGAACCCGCGACCTTCAGGCTTGTAGCATAGTGCCTCAACCAACCACGCTCCCGCGTGCCCCTCTAACCGAGCGGTAACGCTCTTAAATCGTACAAGGGAGGTCCTCCATTCGAATATCGGCCAGGGCACTGGGTATCTTGATTGAATATTGTCGTGGTTTATCTCAGATTCTCCAGGGAAATGCCGGCGTAACGCCTCGATCAGGCCACTACCATTTGCTGCTATACTGTTTAGATAATACTGGCATCGCAAACAGACCACTAACTCGACGCCTTCGTCTCACATTGAGGCAGGAACATGGCGAGAGCGTTTGGGGAAGTTAGGAAGTAAAAGCGAAGTTATACCTGTGTTTAATTAATTAAGCAATATGTCATTAAGGCGTATGGAGGAGTGGGTGTTTAAATCACTTCGGTACTACATGGACGTGGGGGCACGAGGTAGCGTAGTTGGTTGAGGCACTATGCTACAAGCCGGAAGATCGTGGGTTCAAGTCCAGATGAGGTGAATTCTTTTCAGTTGACCTAATCCTTCCAGCCGCATGGCCCTGGGATCGATTCAGCCTCTAATACAAATGAGTACCAGGAATACTCCTGGAATATTCTTGGAGGTAAAGGGCGGCCGGCGCGTAAGGCTGGCAACCTCACCGCCATCTGTGAACCGACTATCTAGATAATGTGGGACCCCCAACGTCTCATAACCCTATGGGCCTTCACGGCCTGTTACAGGGATACCTTTACTTTACTACATAGACGTAATTTGTCAGCTTCACGTTCAGGCAGTTTTACCTCCGGAGAAAGAGCTGCCGGTACCCGTTGGACGCTGTAGAAGAGAGAAAAAATTTTCCCCGCTGGGAATCGGACCCAAGTCTTCCAGCCCGTTGCCGGTCGCTGCACTGACTGGGGTGCTTGGGAGAAGGTGCTGGGTAGAATATTTGGACCAAAAAGGCAGGAAGTAAGAGGAGGCTGGAGAAAATTGCATATCGAGGAGCTCAATAAGTTGTACTCTTCGCCAAATATTATTATATTATATTAATCACATTAATATTATTATTAAACCGTCAAAAAAATTTAATTTAATTTTAACTTTTAACTTCTGAGTTATAATGTTTCACTTTTTAAAACTAATAGTCAAATGTAACGAAATACAAGAATCATAATCAAATTTATATTAATGACGACTAATATTGATCCACATCAGTACTACAATTCAGCATGAATACCACATTTCATGAATATTTGCCTGATGATGATCCAGCTGGAGCGAAACATGTAACAAATACACATAATAATGTAATATAATAATATGATTTTTATTATGAATTTGTTGTGTTGACTGTCGTGTAACAGTACTATTACTATTGCTTGGATGAATAAATCTAGGAAGGTCAGGTGATCCGCGCATGTAGCACGCGTAGCAGAGAAGATAAATACAAAGTTTCAGTATGAAAGCCTTAACGGACGAAACACCAAGACGTAGATGGTAGGGTAATATCACAATATATCCTTAAGAAAGGGGATGGGGTGACGTGGACTGGATTAATCTGACTCAGGAGCAATGGAGGGCTCTTCTTAACACAGTTTTTTCTTCTTTTTTATTGCTAGTGGGATTGGACTAAGTCCCTTGTACTGCGGCCACTTCTGGTCTATTGTACCAGCCCCAGATGATAGGTGAGGGTGATTGTGGAGAAATTGGTGGAATGAAGATTGGCAGGGGAAACCGAAGTACTCGGAGAAAATCTGCACCAGCACCACTTTGTCCTCCACAAATCCCACTTCACCAGACCCGGGATCGAACCCGGGACGCCGCGGAAGGAAGCCAGCGACTAACCGCTTTAGCTATGGCGCTGTTAACACAGTTAATGAACATTTGGTTTCCATACAATGTCGGTAATTTCCAGACTGAGCAAATATTAGCTTCTAAAGAGGGACTGACATTCAATGCCGAGGTTAAAAATACGTTGCGCGAAGCGTTCGTGCCGTGGAGCTTAATCAAGCATGGATACAATGTTATCTTTGGCTTACTAATGGCGTTTGGTGGGTGAGAAGCCTGTAAATTTCCATGGCTACAGTTGCTCGTGGTTACGAAACCTACTTACAAATAAAAATTACGTGAAATTAAGACAGGAGAGCGTGTATTTGCACGTCACAGCGAGATAAGTTTCAAGCGTGGAAAGTAACTCAGCAATGACACAAGTACGAGGCAAACGTTTGCTGACAAAACACACAGTTAAATAGATTAAACGTTGTCAGGTTTCCCGTGAAGTCACACATTCCCACGTGAAGAGGTAGCGAATGGATAAATTAAAGGTAAAGCTATCCCTGTAACAGGCCGTGAAGGCCCATAGGGCTGTGAGACGTTGAGGGTCCCACATTTTCTAGACAAT